AGACAGAATAAATTGACAGTTCATCCGTGATTCACACTGAGCTGTTTTACTGTTACATACAGTAGAGATTTATAAGCTGGCACAGAGAATAGAAACGTTAATACCATCTTAACATAGTAATTGATAATAATGTGCATATTACATCTTTATCACCGCTAATAAATCAACAATGAAAGGCCATCTCTGTGAGTCCAGCCTTGAGTCAAGCAAGACGTGATTGACTAAGGTAATTCAAATCAATCTCAGTTTCAATTTGTGCTCATTAGTAATAAGCAAATGTTTGAAGATTGTAAACATGGTAAACATAAAACCTGCCAAAGATAAGCATGCTAGTGTTTTCATCTTTAGCATGCATGCTGGTGTAAGTATTTAGCTCAAAGCACAGCTGTACCAAAGTACAGCCTCACAGAGCTGCCGGCGTGGCTGGATAATCATGTTTCTGTTTCCATCTCAATCTAAACCATTTCTAGCGATTTGAAATCAAGCATAGCTGTTCATAATTTTTCATCATTCTTCCCAGATATTTAATATAACTTAAGCCAGCCAAAAACATGTGTAAATGTATATTGATGCAATCTATTAAAGATGTGTCCTCCCTGAATATCACCATGTTTACTTTGCATATTTATACATTTAGATTTCCTAAAGTTATGTAAACAGTATGTAAACAGATTTTATTTTTCAATTATTATGTTACCATTTTTCATCTACTATTTCCTTATGTGAAGGCTTTAGCAACACAAATATAACCTGTCATGCCAATAAGGCAGGATGAAATTGAAAAAAAAACGAGACTGGGGGGTGCAGTGTGATGGTGATATGTCTGGATTGCGTGATGTTATTTTCTTAAAATGAGACAGAAAGCGAAGGAGAAGCCAATTTAAAGGGACAGAGAGCGTATGCGATGACTGACAGACAGTCACAGAGTAAGATGAGGGCATTCTGTAATCATACAGTCAGTGTGAGCTACCAAAGAGCTGAGCCACTGTTATGTAAACCAGAATGAAACATTCATGAGCAAACCATCGTCTCATTCTCAACCCATTGGGAGAGTGCATGAAAGACCCATATGGTGGGTTGGCTACTATCTGAAACTCATCTATGGCAAACGGGAACGCTTTGAAGGGTTCAATGCACTGGGCAGATATCAAACCCAGAGAGAAAGACAGATGTGTGGAGGAAAATGTGCAGGAAAAGAGACAACCTTTATCGTCATCAATGGAAAGGATTATACGATGCCAGAGCAACTGAGGTTATATTTAAAAACCTTAAGGAAAAAAGATGGAAAAGGGTTTTTGGGGGTGAAGGGAGAAGATGAAGGACAGAAAGGGGCTATATAAGGAGGAGGAACGAGTAGAGAGACAGGGATTAGGCAATAAAAAGACAGATGAGATCAAGAGACAGCTCTGACACGCTCAGGCAGCGTATGCTTTCTGCGAGCAGCTGGGCATCTCACACACACACACACACACACACACACACACACACACACACACACACACACACACACACACACACACACAGACCCAGACCCAGAAATCCCATCTCTATTATGCAGAACATCAGTTAGCTGATGGTAGAACTGATTATGCAGCTACCCTCTGCTAGCCCACAACTCCCTGTTGGATATCTGCCTTGAAAACCCCCAATCCCAAATGTCTTTTTAGCATATCAATAGAGAATTATATATTCCCAAACAGTAGGACTTGCATACATATAGCTTTCCACAACGTTCACATCTCAACATGTCACAGCGTGAGCCAATCTAAAAGAAAAATACTAATGTAGGCAAACATTTCACACTAAAAGCATCCAAAAGTATAATTTAACTGTCATGCTGATGTTGGAATTACAGAGGTTCCCCCTCATGATTTTTTTTTCAGGCGTATATTTTATAAATATTGTATAAGCAGGTTCATTTATGTTATTTTCAGATGAAATACATTTTAAACGTTTGCTGTTGGTCATCTCACACGTTATCACTAGTGATTAAACAGACCCTTAATCACCAACAATTAGCAGCTCTGTGCCAAATCTTTATCATACAGCAGGTGATCTGCTTCTCGGAAATGAGCTCAGTTGGAAAATAACAAAATGCTAAGAATTGTTGAGCCATCACATAAAAACATCAATCTCCTTGTTGAATCATCAGCAGTAATAAAAACAGAAACCAAAAATGATTTTGATCATAAAAGAGTTCATAAAACTTTAAGTGGTGTCGGTAAATCAGTTACCGTGCGTGTTAAAAGACACTGCTGTAAGAGATATAGAAACACTAACTTGAAATGTATGTTGTAGGGCTGTGGCTCAGCAAGCGGCTCGGGTCACTAACATGTCAAAGATCCGTAACAGGATAAAACAATAAAAAAAGTGAAGGCACAGAGCTGATAGAGGTGCATAGGTGCTTGTTGCCATCAGTGTTGGTGTAGTTTTGTCGAACATGGAGAATACGAATACATCTGGTTTAGAGTTTCATTACTTTACATTCAGTAATTATGTTATATTGAGTGTTGTGTTTCTTGTATCAGTGTCAAAGCATATTATTGTAAATGTTTCCTGAAGACTTCTTTGTCTGTGAGGAAAGAATACTTCTATTCATCCTCCTCTCCACTGCACTGTTCCTTTTTCACTGGCCAAGTTCTTCCAAAATGTTTGTTTTCCTACTTAAATATTCTTAATTGCGTGTCTCACTTTACATTGAGAAAAATATGGCCTGATGCCACATGTTTGAGCTTCAGAAAGAAAACCTGACAGTCAGTCGTCTTTTGCTGCATACTGCATTTATCTTAAATGTGAAACCTCAGGTAGAATGTGAAACAGTCAGCAGCAGCGCAGAAACTAACTTCAGATCACTCTACAAATACCTTGGCTTGACTGGGTCCCAGGGGGCCGGCTTTATAGATTGGTGCAGGGGTGAGGACTGGTGACCCCAACAAAGATTGCTTGCTAAGCAAATAGGCAAAGTAATCTGGCTTGGTGTGTGCGCGCATATGTGTGCTCACACTTGTGTACCTTCCCCATATGCTTGTGTATTTGTCTGCAGATGTGCAGTGTGAGCATATCTGCAAGTGTGTATGTGATTGTTTCTGTGTATGTGTGTTGGTGTGTGTGCTTGCCTGCTCGCTCATGAGGAGCTGAGAATGTGGTCCCTTGTTGCATTTTCATTGATAATGCCATGCATTGCCACTCTGCATGTTTTAGCTTGGTAATTGAAAGGCCATCTGCGTTCCACTGGGGAGGTTTAGTAAAGGGTAAACTACGAGGCTCATTATTTTAGGAGAGGGCAGCCCTTGGAGGCCCAAAGCAAATTAGTTTGTGTCCAGTTTAACCTTCAGAAAACTCAATTACAGTAGGTAGGGTGTATGCATGTGCCATATTTATGCATTTTCTTTAGGAGTTTGTGCACACTTGCATACATGTTTTAGAACAACAGTAATAAAACAAAGTCAAGCTGACCAGTAGTTCTAGCAGAACAAAAGCAGCTACTATTTTGTCAAACAGACATTGTTGTCTTAACCAAAACTTGGTACAACAGCACACACAACACAGAAAATTGATTAAACATAGTGAGTGTGTATGTGCTGGTTTGCCTTTGTAAGTCTGCTAGGTCCATAAACATGGAAACAGACATGACCTGCATGTCTCAGCAGTTTCCTGTGTAAGACGAGCTCTGTGTATGTGTGCGTCCCCATGGTTCTCCTGTCACTCCTCGGCCCTGCACAGCAATGCTTTCCACTCTATTAGTGTCTCAGTGTCTGCACAGCAGCACATGTGTATCTGCCTTTACATATATGTGTGTTTCCATCTGTCTCCTGTCACCAGCAGACCTCTCAGCAACATTAGGACCTGTTAAGATCAAGGGTCATTTCTCGAAAGGTCAAAGTTCACCCTTCAAAAGGTGAAAAGCCACCAGGGTCAGGTCTGGTGTGAGGTGACATTGAACAAGCACACAGCTGAATGCTTGACAACTCACACCTTTGGGAACTTAGAGAACATCCCAAGTGGAAAACAATATTCAATACAAAGACATACCACAGTCCTCTTTTATAGGCAAAGAGACATGGGAAACTGCCCTAAGAGATAAGTGGTTACTAGGGTGTCACGATTTCATTCGTTTTCTTCCAGAGCTGACTATAACATTGTTTGAGTCTTGATTTGTACATTCCAACAGAACGTCGGTTTACATCGGGCCCTGACATAATAGTATTTGCTTTAATTAGCTGCCAAATAGTTGCTAAATTGCACCGCAGCTGCTAAATAATGTGTTTACTAGAGGGATATTAGAAGAACAATAAACATTTAAGTACAAAGAATGAGGGAGAGCCCCTTGAGAAATTACTAATTTAGAAATGTCTGGTGTCGGTCTGTATTGAAAAGAAGACTTGAAAGGAGAGGAAGTCCAAGTTCACCCTGGCATTAAGAATAGGGGCTGCGCGGCTTACAATCACAGACATCCTTTAACATCCACACACAAACATACCCGCACCCTTGCACTTACAAACTTGCACAGCAGCACATACTGACAAATATCTCGCCCAAGTACAAAGTCAACCCATTCAACCAGTCCGGCAGTTAAAAACAAAGTTTTTCCCTCCAGCTAAACTCAAGCCTGACCATAATTGAGTCTGTGCTTTCAAGTGATTTTATTGAATTCCCCTTCACTGCTGTATTTTTATTGTTTTTACTTTGTTTTTTTCTATACTGCCGCACTATGTTTTATTGTGTGTGTTTTAATGTGTGATACCTTGGGAAGACTGGGGAAATAAATGTCATCATGCACTGATACATTCTTTTTCTTCTTGTTCTATTTTGGAGCGTAGTGACATTTGCTGCTTCCCCTGCTGGGATATATACAGTGCTAAGATATGGTTATGGCAATTAAACTGCAGGGCTTAGAACTAGTGTAATTACTTATCTCAAATCTGATCAAAGCAAAAACATAACAAGATTAACCATTAATGAACATCCATAACTACAAAACAGGCATGTGCTATACTCACATTGTATCTACATTGGTCCTTCATCATCGGTGGTTATAGCTGCACAGCCATGGGTAGTGTAGGGTTGGAAATAATGTATCTATAACAGATGAAATAAAAGAAAGCATGAATAGATATGTGCTACACAAATACCCTGACAATTCTCCTTATGTTACGCATAAGCTATGCATTAATATATTAACCATAGCTCAAATGAACATTCATATGGATAAACAACATTACAAACAGGATACACTGCCAAGGACACATGACACAGACAAATAAACATAACTTAGACAGACATAATGATGGCTAATATAAAGCTCTGAGCAGATGTTATCACAAAAGAAGTAATGATAAAGCCGAGAAGCGCTCCTGCTGCTTCTCCTTCTGTATTGCATTGGCAGAAAATGAACCTTGGTTGTCAAGGAACATTTCTGTATAGTTTGGGATCCTTTTGTTGAATTGACAAAAGCCAGTTGTGCACGCGGTTATCAACAGACAGTTATGTTACTCACAGTAATCGTCAAAAAACTTTCAATCATAGCATCCTCCATTTCCCAACAGTGCCTGTAGATCACTCCCTCCTTGTGTGTGTCTATTGTTCTGACCTGTTACCATTTCAATAATATCCATTGATAGAATGGTATAATATAGACACAGAAGAGAGTACTGGGTATATGATTGGTTTAACAATAGTATGGCTACTACCTCCGCCTCATTTGTCCATAAGCAGTATCTCTGAGAAATGGTTTAAACATGTTGTGATCGTTCCTTGATAGTCCAGATATGTATTGTTCTTACACTGAACTTCCCTCATCGGTGAAATCGCAAAACCTGTGAATTTCCCCCTAGCCCACACACGCATAAACCCCTTAAACCCCAGTTTGTGCGTGAGTGTGTGAGAGTGTGGGTCTGCATATGTATGAGTGTGTGTCCATCTTCTATCCAGTTGAACAGGATGTAGGAGGTTAAAGGAGAGGGTCAAAGGTCAAAGCCTGACTAAATAATTACCAGATACTCTTTTGGACGACACACACACAGCTTCACGACTATAAGGGTTGTTATTTTTTAAATGTCTGGACAGTCTCTTCCTCTGTGACCCCCTTAGGCTGTGCACACACCTTCACCTATACAAAAACACACACTTGAACGTGCTCTCTTTTCCTCCCTGTCTGACTGGCCCTCACACAACCTACCCTACCCACACACACACACACACACACACACACACACACACACACACACACACACACAAATAATGTCCAAGCCTGGGCGCTTGTCCCTCTGACAAGCTATCAGTCAGGAAACAGAGGGGAGAAAAGGAGACGAGAGCAAAGGCGCGAGAGGCAGGGTGGCTAGATTTAGCCTGTCAGTCACAAAAGGTCAAGGGTCGCTCTGAAAACCCATTGACATAAATGCACATATGCATGTGTGCACTCACACACACACATACAACAGTGTTCATCAAAACAAGGTCAGAAGTGGAGGGCAGACAGCTGGCTAGGTTTACAGAGAGAAAGAGAGAGAGCAGACAGCTGGCTAGTTTTACTAGCGTCTGCCCTTTAAATAGAGACTGGAAGAAAGTTTAAAGAGGGCACAAGTGAATGTTTACAGCAGGGCAGAAAGGTGCAAGCACTTATTTCAATTGTTCTAAATGGGCTTAATATCGGTAAAATGGCCTCTGAATTCATGAGGGAATCATTTGGTCAGCCATAATAGGATTTAATCAGGTGAAACTTTTAGTGTTACTATTTTCGCCACAAGCTTAGCCCTTTGTTTTGCATCCTTTGTAAAATCGTTAAAACAAAAGGAAGGAAATAGGAAAAACTTCTAATTACATGAATCAGTCTGGACCGCGACACGTCAATTCACCTCCTGTTTCTGTACTGAAAAATCTTCTGTTCAACCCCAGGTAATTAGCCCAATAATAACTAGAATTGGGGCAAGAAACCTAGGCAGGAAACCTACTCACAAACAAATGGTCTTATCTACACACATAATCACTAAAACTGCACATACTCCACAAACACAAACAATGTCATGGATTCTGACAGGTTATACACGGACAGACTCCCATTTACCACATGGACCGCTGGTCAGGTATTTGTGCTCACAAGCTATGGCCAAGACAAATTAGACCTTTATTGTCTCTGACTGCAGTATAATGTGGCTATGAGGGGAGAGATAAAGGAGTTGGGGTCAGGTGGTGAGAGAGGGTGAAGAAGACTGTAGTAATAAAGATTTTAAGGTTGATTCCCAGAATGAGCTTCGGTTATCATGGACTTTTTGCAGCGACGGTTACATTTTTCTCTTGTTTTCATTTGGTGTTGTTTGAGTCTGTGAAGGTCTTGTCTTTAACAGATTCTACATATGATTGCAGAATCTAAAGGCAACAGGACTTATGTTGGAGTGGGATGCGTTCTGGTTTCTATGGTGGGTTGACCATTGACATTGGAGCAGGCTTTGGTTGAATACAGGCACACAGTCCACGATGAAAGCAAAAGAAGCAGAACCCATTGGCTGAAATTGCATTCCCTGAATCCATTGGCTATCAAATGACAATGTAGCTTTTTATTAGCTCACAATTAGCTTGTTCACTGGCCTGTTTGAAACTATCCTCTTGTAGACACCCTGTCACTACTACTCCTTTCTCGCATCTCTAGTTGCGAATCGGACTGTAAACAAAAAGCAGTGAATGGAAAGGGAAGTCTGCTGGCTACTCAGGAATCCCAGAAAATTGTCCCTGGCTTTTAGAGGCTTAACGTTATTTTTTAATTATTTGTTTAGTTAAGCTAAATATCCCTGTTTGACACTGATATGCCCCGAATAGACCGACTTGACAGATGATTTGAACAGAACATTGTAAACTCTTCACACTGTGAGTACTGTTTGAATCACTACTATGGAATATACATTTGCAATTGAGGGAAGCAAAATGTAATTTGTATGAGAATGTCCTGTAAGCCACTTTGCATTTGTTGGTCTTCCCAATAGAGTTTGTTTTGATGGAAAACCACTTTCACCTGCAGGGACCCCACATGGGGCCACAAGCCCCCAGGCTAAAAAAAAGTCTAAGTAATGTAATCAATCAGTTCAACACAAAGAGGGAGGCCAGACTGAACAACATGGGTGGTCAAGGTAGAGCAGCCAGGTGGGTCAAAAAGGAGGACCCGAGGAAAGGAGAATGGAGTAGAGCATGTGGTCAACACAGCGGGAAACACAGTGGTCATTTCACCCATGGACACACACATATACACACCAATTGATAGACTTACTGATAAAATGAAAGATGCATGGTTAGCCAAACATGGAGACAAACAGCGAGACCGGCCAGAAGCCAGATGAACAGATAGGGATGTATGCAAGGCTAAAGTCACACACAGAGACACACACAAAGACAGACAAACTAGTCAACCTGGCCAGACAGGCTGAGTTTGCCTTGCCTGTGGGGATGATCAAGGGTAGGCTGTGATTTGTCTTATTAATGTTGCGCTGTCTAGGTCATAGAAACGACTTCTTTCTTACATCTCATGTAAGAGTAATGCTTTCCTTGTGATTTTATATTATCATCTCATCCCCCAACCCACCATTGATCATGTGTGTCTAGGAGAGGTGAATAATAAGTGAAGGTGTGTGTGTTTAAAAATTCAACAGAACATTAAACCGTATAAAAGTCGACATATTCGATGCAATGTAGGTATAGAATAGATATGAGGTGGATGTGAAAATAATCAAAGGTTAATATATAATTTGCAAGATCACTCGTATTTTTTATAAGGTTGTGTCAAGTATACTAAAAAAGCCATTCATCTAATAAGTAATTTCATCGCTCATGCAGCCTTCAAGCCTGTGCGGAACTACTTTCAATGCCGCACCTGCCCGCAACACAGTTTCTAATAAAACCTGGCCCCATCCCATGGGACACATAAGACACATAGCATTATGGATGCTTTTAATCTAAAGAAATGCTAATACAGTTGCTTAGGTGTTTGTTAGATGAAAAGTTAGAGGCAGAAGTAAAACATGAATAACAGCTTGCACTAGCTTAAGGCTATTGGAAGTAAAAATGCATAACAATAATGTTGCTTCATGTCCTTGGTTCTCTAAGTCCATGTTGTTTCCAATTGTAATAAATACAAATGAGAGCTTAGACCATCAGATGTCAGATCAACTTGTTAGTCTTACTGCAATGAAAACCTCTCACAATATTTTATGAGATTGTGATGAATACACTAAATACAGAAAGCAATGCTAGACCCATTATTAATAGTTATATAACAAAAGTAACCTACCCCAACAATTCCATAAAAAGTCACAGAAAAACACATTTTATTACCAAAAACAAATGCATTTTCTCTAAGCTGAATAGAGTGAAGGCCAGTTTAACAGGGTTAGTATACTTAGCTAGCATGCAACTTACGTTTGTGCATTGGCTGTTTTTAGGCAAATAAACACAAATGGCATGCAATGATGTGAAGTGATTATGTTCTTTACTGTCTGTTTGAACACCCCTTATTGTATATTATATATATACTTGTGCCAAATGTGTTCTATTAACCACTTTGTGTATGAGTGTATTCATCCAATGTGTCATATTTATGGCTTCATATTTGCCAATAAAATATGTTTTATTCTGTTTGCCTTGAATGTGAACAAAACACTTACAATGGCTTCCAGTGTTCTTGCTTGTGTAACGGTTTACCTCTGCTCAAAGATGTCCTTATTCTGTATGTCTGATTTAGTCTAAATCCATTTTTATTCCCAGTCATGAGATATTTCCAACATCTAACATAAACTGAAAAAAAATATAAACGAAACACTTTTGTTTTTGCTCCCATTTTTCATGAGATGAACTCAAAGATCTAAAACATTTTCTATATAAACAAAATAACCATTTCTCTCAAATATTGTTCACAAATCTGAACAAATCTGTGATAGTGAGCACTTCTCCTTTGCCAAGATAATCCATCCCACCTCACAGGTGTGGCATATCAAGATGCTGATTAGACAGCATGATTATTGCACAGGTGTGCCTTAGGCTGGCCACAATAAAAGGCCACTCTGAAACGTGCAGTTTTGCTTTATTGGGTGGGTCTG